GTGGCCAAACTTTTATCCCTTAAGGGCTACTTTTTTGGTAAAAATATAGTCTGCGGGCAACTATGAATATGGGCAAACAATTTTAGGATTTTTATATGCGCATGCGTTAACATTCATTTGCATTGTTCATCGGGATAAATACAAACAGTATGGGTACGTTGCACAGTCAGTCTATTGTTGTAAGAATAAATTATCAAATTAAGATTTTTAAACATTAATTTAAGTGAAATCAAATTGTTCAACTTTAGCTTCACGGGCTACTTTCATAACCTTTGCGGTTGACCGTGGTCTACATGTTGACCACCCCTGATCTATGGTATCAAAAATATAAAAATTCACTAAATACCTGCTTCAGAGAATACTAAATCTCAGACAAAACATTAATGAAGTAATGTTTTCGATCACATTCAATGATCATTCTCAAGTTTTATAAAGCTGAAATGGTTATTGAATAGGATTGAAACATTAGTTTATTAATGTTTAAGCTGCTGTACAAAGTTGTCTGAGATTTAGTTTCCATTGATATAAAAATTCATGCAAAAGCAGTGCACTTTTTATAAGCAAAATGGAAAGTTTTTAATAGTTACCACCACATTCCCTAAGATCACTAATTGTTGCTTTAAATGCTAAAGGTTTATTTTTCAGAGAGTGTATATTGTCATAACTGAAGATGCAAACATGGCAATATTGTAAGAAAAGCCGAATCAGCAGGTAAATGTGTGAGTATGCTGTACCAGAATAGAATGCATCTCAGCTTGTGAGAATATAATATCCATATATTTTGTATCAACTGGATAAATTACAACAAAAAAACATATCTTTAAAAATTCAGCAATAAAATTTACTAAATAATAATGTTTTTGATCAGTTTAACTGATCTTACATCACCAAACGATCGCCTAAATATCGGGCTATAATACGGCTAATTAAATGATTGGAATAAAGTAATTTGACACTAGAGGTAGACGTTAGGTGCCATCTCTTAAGTAAATTAATAATTAAATNAGTGTCAAATTACTATATTCCAATCATTTAATTAGCCGTATTATAGCCCGATATTTAGGTGATCGTTTGGTGATGTATTTACTACTCGGGCTATGAGTTGTTGATATTTATATTTAACTGATCTTCTGCAGTTATGATAAAATAGAATGTGAAAATAAAATGTGAATACAAAATTTAAAAATAAATGATAACAAGAATTCTAAAATAAATAAATAAACCTATTCTATTTTATCATAACTGAAGAAGATCAGTTAAACTGATCGAAAACATTATTATTTAGTAAATTTCATTGTTGAATTTTTAAAGGTGTTTTTTTTGTTGAGAATGTAATGCTAGTTCTTCCGAACTGAAAGTAAATGCAAATTCATTTTAAAAAATTAGAAAATGTCTAAGCCCTTGAACAATAGTGATCATCATCAAGGGATGTTCATGGAAAATATCTCATATAATTTTTCTTTTAAGCATCCCTGATGATAAATGATAGTTTGAAAGTATTTGGATATTTTATGATCTTTTCATTAAATTTAATATTCATTAAAGTAACTTTGAATATATTATTATTGGACTTATGAAAGAAAGTATCCTTTAATAAGTCCAGCAATAATTCCTTAGCAACAGTATTCCTTATTAAAGGAAGACTGATTGTTCTGGTGAATGTAAATGATGGAGATGTGAAAACAAATTTAATTTTAGGTCTCGGTTGCTTGCTGTTCTCTTTAGTAGATGTATTTTCTTAGCATAAGATTGCTGTTGAAAACAGCCCTGTGTGATTTGTTCTCAACGGCAACCTTATGCTAAGAAAATACAAATTTAACTTCTTCAATGTATTTTTAATGTATTATTTCTGTTTGTTTTTTTAAATATTTCATTTCTTCCAGGTTTATGTAGGTTCAATACATTTCTAAACATTCAGAAAATCAAGCTTAAATTAATAAGCAAAATAATAGTGAAATAAATTATTAGGATAGAACATGGCTAATAAACTTTATAAATATTATGTAATTTGAATAAAAAAAATTGGCAGTTAGACCATCATGTTGTATGAAATTTAATAATAAGAAATAAAAAATTAATTTAGACTAATCTGGAAAAAACTGATTCAAAGAGGAACTGAACTGCAACTTCTGCTTACTATGCAGATACTATTGCCAATTATGCTATATTGCTATAATTACTATAATTGCCAATATTGCAATTATGCTGGGCCTCAGTCTGATTCTCATCTCCAGACCAATTAATTAATCATAATTTGGCACAAATTACTGATCTGTTAAGTGGAGCAACTCATATTGATAGAAATTAAATGGTACATTGCAGGCATGAGTAAAAAAAAGTAATTGGATGTGAAGCAAAGAAGTAAGTCTGCTCCAAAAAAGCTGTCAAGAAATGAGTTCAGTAAATGAATGAAGTGCATCAATGCATGCAGAGATCATTCAGTAAAAAAACTGGTTTCAGTGCACAGCATTAAGAAAAAACTAGTCCCTTCCAGTCCCGGCAATGTTTAGACTCAATTTCCATCAGAGCAACAATAGTAGATGCTCCTATGTGTTACCAATTTTGTTATGAAGAATATGAATAAAAAAATTCATTTTTTTTATGTTCTTTATTTTTATTTATTTATTTGTTTATGTTGTTATTTTTTAATTGAATGCATTAGATCATTTGATTTTTTTAAAAACTGTCTTTTTAAAAAAAGTCAGTTTAAAGGTCAGAACATTCCAATTTCAGAACACTCAGTATACTATTCAATTTGAATGTGTAGAACCTGAAGCAGGCCCATAAACTATACTGAAAACATTTGTTTTTAATAAAGTATTGCTGGGAGACATAAAGAAGGTATGAAATCAATTAGTTACACACACAAAAAAAAACACTGTGCTGGGATAAAGGTTAACTAAAAATTTAAAATATTTAAATAATTAATAAGTATGTTTTATCACATAAAGCTCAGCCACACATGTAATGTTAAAGTGCCAACTTTAATTGTTAATATCTCCATGACCAATACACCAATTTGGATAAAATTTAAAATACTTAGTGTCCATGATGAATACTATGGACATCTTAAATTTTGAATTCATTGGATTGTTTTGGACTTACACAATCAGCATTTTGTTGCCTAGATTTACAACAAGAAGGAATAGTGACAGCAAGCTACCAAACAATCTAAGGGGTATGCATTTATTTAATAGCTTATTTGAGAAATGACCACCTCCTGTTTATCCTTTTGAAGGTTTTATTTAAAAACATTAAGTATTTATAAAATAATAGCCATCTTTTAAATTTTAACATATTATTAGTCAATCAGATATCATATGACATGACAGTGCAGACTGTCATGTGAAAATAGAAATATTATGTGATCTCAAAAGATTATCACATGACTTCACATCTTGTGACTACTTTTGATCCATTAATTAATGCAAGTCTAATGATTTAACAATAGAGTATTTATAAAATAATATCCCATTTTTTAAGTTTTTGCATATTATTGGTCAATCATTTAACATGTAGCATGACTTACTATAAGCTATCACATGACTGCCATGTGAATATAAAATTATCAGAAAACTATTCTATTATGAAGTTGGAAAAATACCTGAAATCCCATTAAAAAAAAAAACTGGTGGAACCAAGTTGAAAAGTAAAGCTTAGAGAAAACATCTACATAAAGAAAACTTTTGAAAGTTTGGCATAAAAATAGTGGAACCAGATTTGACAGTAGGACTCAACATGTGAATAAAGTGCACATTACACAGACTACTTGTACAGTACAACTACAGGAAGTTTTGGATTAAGCAATGTCACCATGACAATAAATCATGAAAGCATGCATCACTGCAGAAAAAGGCTTTGAGCTTTACTTTGTGCCTTAAAGTTGTTGCATCTACAATAATTTTGCTGAACATTAGAGCACCTTTGAGCAATATTAGTGAAGAAACTTTAAAAAACAAAGTAAAGCCTGAAGTCTTTTTCTATGATGTTTTCATGATTTATTATCATGGTGACATAGCTTCATCTAAAACTTCATGTAGTTGTGGTCTGTGTAATGTGCACTTTATTTATATGTTGAGTTTTATTGTCAAATCTGATTCTAGTATTCTTTTGCCACAATTTTCAACACTTTTCTTTATTTAGATGTTTTTATCAAGTTTTACTTTTCAACCTGTTTCCACCAGATTTTATGGGATTAGCACATGCATAACTGTATTAAAGATATTCTGATAAATCTTATTTATCATCATAAATGTTTTTAAAAACAACATTTTGAAGTTCAAACAAATAAATTTTAATGTTTTTTGTGTCAATGGGAAAACTTAAGCCTCTATAGCTCTTCCCTTGAATCTGTCACTGAAGATATTATTCCAACTGTCTAAATTTAGTCCAAGTTATGTAATATAGTTCATTAGCAAAGTTATGGTCCAATAATTAATCTGCCATATTATTTCATTATTTCTAAATTTATAATCATTTGTAGTATAAAATGTTAATTGATTAAAACTAATTTTTAAAATTGACACAATGACGACCACCACCACCATTCTTCTGATCTTCATTCATTCCATATTATCTTTATGTAATTAATTAACAAGAAGATACAAATGATAATAGTTTAACATTACATTAAAACTCATATAAAAACAAATTAAGCTTTATATGAAATAATCCTTCAGAGAAAATTCTAACAACTATTTACTTTTTATATTTCTCTCAAATTCAAACTGAATTGTTCATTTAAGTCATGAACAAATTGTACATTAATGCAATTATACAGCACAATATTTTATAATATGGAAAACATAACTGAAATTGCTAAACAATTTAGTCAGTCTAAACAAATTGTAGTCAGTAGCTTGCTGTTGAAAATGGTAGAGAACTGACTACAAATTGCTAGAGTTGCTGCAACTGATGCTGCAATATTTTGCTGCACCATTATACAAATTGAATATTTCAATCTATTATATTAGATTTAATATCAATATTTTTAAACTTACCTTATTATTCTGTTATTAGCTACTTTATTCTTTTCTCCTTCACCTTTTTTGTTAAAATATTCAGTTGTATGGGAACAAAAATTTTTCTTAGATAATTCTTCATTACACATTAATTTAATAAAATTATCTTGATTTTTAAAAAATGATAATCCAATGTGAAATTCATTACTGTATAAAAAATACAAAACATGTAAATATTTTATTATTTTCTAAATTTAATATTAAATTATTATTTATACATAATTTTAGCAATAAATAACTTATCCATTTAAATACAATTATGTTATGGTAACTCCACTGTTTTGGATAGATATTGTCATGATTTTCTTTTTTGTAAGTTCGACCTGTATTTTATTTTTTTTTAAAGTGACTGGAAAAAAATACTAGTTTATTAAGATAGCAAGTTCATAAGCAACACAGAAACATACACATGGCATACTTTGATGACAGAAAAGTATTTGACAGGCAGATAAATGGTGGTTTAAAGGATTCCCAATTCAGATGTCTTTGAATTATAAATATTTAGAAGTCACTTTTTCAACTAATGGTTCATTTTGGATGCAGTATTTATATGAGACTATTATTTATAACAAATAAAACTGTTCAATTAGGGAAGTGCCAAATTGAGAAATTTAAATTATTACTTACACTCATTGAAAACTGTGGTTTTGCCCTCTTTGTTATACACTTTAGAAATCTGGGGTTTTCATTTAATAAATGATGATGGAATAGAGATCCAATTTGTTAGAAACATATTTTGCTTATCTTGTTGTACACTGGGCTATTTAGTTTGATAGAATGTTCTTTCATACCTATAAATCTTTCAATTTTTAAAAAGTTAGGGAATTGGCTTATTAAGATTCATAACCTTGAAAACTCTCATTTAAGTAAGGGATGCTTGAAATTTTTATTTGGCAAAGATTGCATGGACTGAATCTGTTCTTTCATTAGTAGTTGTAAAGAACATGGTGTGAGATTCTGGAGGGGGCAACGTAGTAATTAGATTAATTGGTTAAACTAATACACAGTTAATGTAGAAGAGGAAAAACCCACTTTCTTTTCCCACCACCTGGCATTGCCAGTCACTTTTGATCCAATAGATAAGAACGATCAAATAACCGTACAAATTGACAATTTTAACAATATTTTGACTAAGTGTTGAGAAAAGCTAAACATACAGTTATTAATGAGAGAGAAACATCAAAATTGGTTAAATTATGAGGTAAGAAGAGTCCCAATACCTCAATGGTGACGTTTAAGAACTTCAGATTTGGTGCATTATATGGTAAAAGAGTCAGACCACTCCAGTCGATGCAATGACACATCTCGAACTTAGACCACATTAAATCAAAGTCACCTGACTACTCTCCCACACTATATGTGTATAAAAAGGGTTAGATCAACAGTAGACATAAGTGGACCTGACCCATCATAATAGAGATGGACATACTAGAAGCATAGAGGAAGCTCTACCCACCAGCTCCCCAATAGCCTATGGACCACCAATTCTTGAATAGATCCAAGATCCACAATCGTCTCTCCAATGTCGTATAAATAGGATCCATAAGCATCAAGTTATCTTCACAAGCTATTGTACTTAGAATTGTACTTCCATTTGTAAACTCTCTCTCTCAATCCATTAGTTGTTCAGTAGTTATAGCGTGTAATCTTCCCCTATGTATTTAACCTCTTTTTGTTCCATATTAAATTCATTGTTTTGTTTAACTGGTGTTGATATCAGTTATTACTTGGAGAATGGACACCTTATCAACTTACCAATGACCTTCCCACCCAACTTATAGCCCTCCTAGCCATCCTGTGACATTGCCCAGTGCCCAGATCAGAGATCCGGGCACCATACAAGTGTCAAGTCTCACCAACTGACCTGTAGATTGAATCTCACAATGGCATTAATTTTATAAGTGGAAATGTAGAGCTGATAGACTGATCTCTCTTCCTTATTAACATCTTTTGATAACTTTTTATCTGATATTAATAGAAAAATAAATAACAGTGTATATAATAGTTGGAATAAAGAACTGGATGTTACTTTTTTTGATAATTCATTATATAATCAAAATGTGTCTCTTATTGTTTTGTATTTTTTTTATACAGGTAAGGTGCAATTCATTAAATTTCCTAAATAATTATTTCAGATAACCATGTACATATTGGGTGGAAGAAGAGATTTTTGATGCTTTACATATTTTGACTAACTGTTTGCATTTTAAATTGCTAAGAAAAAAGATTTTGGTTATACTGTTCTCTCCAGGTCATTTTTCCTTAAAGTTCTTTCTGATGCTTCTTTTCAATTTAAAGTAATTTGTTTTTTAATAGAGTCTGTTGATCTTTTGTCTTAGGTGGCATGACCATCTGCTCCAAATTGCTGATGAAGTCTGTGAGCGTATGTCAATTGGTGGCTTTGTTACTAATATTTTGTTTTTTTTTTATAGATAAAAAATATTATTATTATTATTTTATTTTTGTTGTTTTTATTAATACTGACAGATGCTCCCAAATTTAATTTAAATCTAATTTAATTAATGTTATTTTATTGTAATTTTGTAATTTTTATGTTGACTGTACTTAATATCAAGAGTTCTATATTTTTAAAAAATTGTTTTTCTCTCCCTGCATCATGGAGTGTATCTAGTATGTTTAAATCAATAAATAAAATTTTAAAAAATTGAAGTTTATTAATAACAAAGTTTTAAAGACAATTAAAAAGAACTTAAATTTAATTTAAATTAAGACAGTTTCAAATTTATGAAAACTTAAAAATAGCAATTCTACTGTACTTTAGAAAGCAATTTGAAATAAAAAGTTTCACTGCAAATAGCATCACACATAGTCATATCACTTAATTATATATTATTACAAATATGTAATTAACTGATTACATTAATAGCAAATTATTTTAAAATCTATTAATATGAAAAAATTATTAAGTAAATGAATAATTATCATCATATAATACTAAAAAAGTATACACCAACCAAAGCCGAATAATATCGAGTTAGAAACAGCTATAATACTAATAATTTAAAAGACAATTTGGCATTAGAGTTAGGCGTTAGGTGCCATCTCTTGATAAATTTAATAATTATAATTTAGTTATAGTTATGTATTTCCAAGACCAAGTCTTCCTTTATTTGTTTTTTCTTCACTACTAGGTGCATTAACTAAGTACTTTGCCTGAAATGTGTATCAGCCTATAGAAGATTCACAATAAAGATGATGTAAAATACCTTGTGTCTATTAATGCACCTAGTAGTAAAAAAAATACAATTATAATTTAATTAAATAATTTTAGAATTACTGGAAGAAAAGAATTGGCCCGAAGCAGGACTTGAACCCGCAACTCCTGCTTACCATGCAGATGCATTGCCAATTATGCTACCCAGACCTTTGGTCCAATAAGCTAACGATATTATTAGTATTATAGCTGTTTCTAGTTGATAATATTTGGCTTTGGTTGGTGTATAGCTTTAAACGTATCGGGTGTAGTAATGATGTTTGATTATTTAATTATGCTTAAAAAATTCAAAATTTCTGAAAATTATTATTTAATATGTAGATAAAATTCTTACCATATAAAATAAAACAATAATGTAACTAAATAACGATTTCTTGATTCTGCTTCATTAATAAAGTGTTCCATTGCTTGCCAAAGTAAAATACGATGATTCATATGATCTGGATTTTCCAAGTCTGAAGTTGATGACATTATCTTTTGGTGAAATAATTTAGATAAATCATCATCATCTTCAAATAAATTACCTAATGAAACTGTTGCTGTGTCTTCTATATAGAATAAAATTTTGTAAAATTAAAATTTAATAATTATAATTAAATTTAAAATATTTTTACTTACCAAATAAGTTATAAATCGATGTTAAGTGTGGTATATAGACATCCCAAAATGCATTTCCCAAAACAACATATGAAGCTATTAGTTCTTTTACTGGTTGCCATAACAATTTGAAATTAATATATAGCATTCCAATCAAATAATATAGAGGAACCTATAATAAAATAATTTTCTTAAGGATGAAATATATATAATGTTTATTCTATTTTATAAATATAGTTTAATGCAAATTACATCAGTTACCTTTTAGTAATGTTCACTTATCTATATACATGTTTTCAATATTCAAGTTATCATAATTTTTATTACTTTAGTATAAACGCTAATAAACCAGAAATTTTATTTCATATCCAAATATCAGTTGCCATCATACCAATGTTTACTTCAAACATTTATACAGTAGAGCATTGATTATCTGAATGTTGATCAACCAAAATGTGAATTAACCGAAAACTTTCCAGTCGGTAAATTTAAATTTCCGCTAGTGCTGTGGTGCTGCAATCTTTGACTATGTCTTGGACTACTCCAATATTATTTTTGTTGGTGTGCATGTTATAGATGGCAGCACTGGCACAATCTTGAGAGAGTTCTTAAGGATGCGCCAGGATTTGAACGACTTTCAACATGGGATAGGTTAATATATTTTTTTGTACATAATTGGTTATCCAAAAAAATTGATTTTCTGAACAACCCCAGTCCCCAATTGATTCGAATAATCAATGCTCTACTGTACTTTTATTAAAAAGCATAAAAACAATTGAATTAAATACAACAATAAAATGATAACTAGTTATTAAGTACAGTATACTTAGACATCCTAAAATGTATTTTTCAAAACAACATATGAAATATTAAGTTTTTGCTGACTGTCAAAGTAATTTGAAATTAATACAATGCTATTGCAATGAAATTAATAAAAATAATATAAAAATATTTTTCTAAATATCAAATAAAAAATGTTTACTTTGTATTGTCATAAAAGAGTTTCTTGTCTCAAAAAATTGTTCAAAATAATATCTCAAATACAATAGTAGAGATAACAAAGACTTATCACACTGCTGCTGGTAACATTAAAATGACACTTCTACCATCAGAATGCAACTTTATTACTAGTATGATTTCAGTACACAAGACCCTCATCAGCTGTACATAAAAAAATATAGGTTGCATATAATCATTGCATGTCATTTATCATTTGTTCCAGCTCTTTTATGATATATACATACACAAACCTACATCCTGCTAATATGAAACAAATGATAAATGATGTGCAACGATTATATGTAGATATTTGGTATCTGCAACAATGCATAAGAGAGAAGGCCTGTTCATAATGTAATCCTCATAGTACTCAGCAGTGTGAGAGGAAATAAATCTTGAACAGGTATGTTTTAAATTGTAGATTGTAATTATAATTTTCTCTGTGAATTTGTTTCTACAACAGATACCTATATATTTTTATGTATAGTTGATGAGGGTCTTGTGTACTGAAATGCATACTAGTAATAAAGTTGCATTCTGATGATAGAAGTGTCATTTTAATGCTACCAGTAGCATTGTGATAAGTCTCTGTTATCTCTACTATTGTATTTGAGATATTATGTTCAATTTTGTATTGTATTTAAAATGTATTGTTAGAGAAATAAATTTATTTTACAACTTTTGCAATTATTAACTAAACGTAAAACAAGTTTCACAACATAAAAATTTTAGTTTTTCACAACATAAAAAATAAGCAAGAAACAAAATGTTCTGAGAAAAGAAGAATTTGTAACTATCTTTTGTAATCTAATATTATTTGTCTAAATATACAACTCTAAAGTGCAAATGGACAATATACATTTTTTGTTCAGTATCAGCAATTGATCTTCTTTTGTCCCAAATTATTTTGATTAGGAGCTTCCGTTCCACCCAGAAGATCAACTGCTGATACTGAACAAAAAATGTATGTTGCCCACTTGTGCTTTATGAAGGTATGAGAGCCAATGATCTTGTATATTCAACTCTATGTCAAAAAATTGTCATGCTCTTACAATTCTAGTCTTTTCTAACTTTTTATAAAATTTTAAGTTATATCTGCTAATAATTTGTTACATACCTAATTAACATGTTATTTGACTATACTTTTAAAAAAACTATACATAAAAGGGAAAAATGGTTTTTAAATATTCATCATTTTAAAAAAATCCAAAAAAATTGAAATAAATTATTTNATAATTATTATTATTATTATTAGAATTACTTTTGTTGTTACACAGATATATTTCCTAAATTGTTCTGACACTTTAGTTGCTGTAAAAGTATGCGATTTACATTGCAACTGGAAGCAAAAGAGAATTATCACCTGGAACAAAAAAATTATCTAAATTTTATGAAATGAAGGTAAATCTCAACTGAAAATTGCCAAAATCACTATCTGTTCATAACATACAGTATCAAAAACCTTCAAACAAATTAATTCAAAAAAGAAAATGGTAATTTATTGTTAAAACTGGGGAAGAAAATGGTCAAGAAGTTTGAGAGATGATCATAAACTAAAGCTCAATAGTAAGAAAAAATTGTTTTAAATCAAGTAGATATTATCATTTTGTATGGAAAAAGGAGAATGTAAATGTGTCCTACAGTAGAATAGTTTGCAGATTTTGTAAAATGAACTTGTTCCAAACAAACTATTCCTCTCTAGGAAACAGATTGAAATGAGTTCAGAGGTGTAAGCAGTATATTAACTGGACCTTTGAAAATTGGAATAAGATTATTTTTAGTGGCAAATCAAGGTTTTGTGTATGTTATGATGATCAGAGTATAGATTTGTGGAGACCAAACAAGAAGTCTTTCATCCATCCATCCTAAACAATCTATGAAATATAGGAATATAATAATATAGGGATGCAAGTCTGCAACAGGTGTAGGGCATATCACAACTATTAAAGGTACCTGAAATTCCTAAAGGTATCAAGAGTTGCCAGAATTTTTAATTACAGAATAACGGCCTTTACAGCCCTTATGAAAAGAGTCTGCACTCATTGCAGTACAATTGAGAACACTAGGAAGAAGGTGAGTTGCATCACAGACATTGCTACCATATATGGCTACCCTAAAAACTTGATCTATAAATTAGCCCACAGGCAAGAAACTAAAAGAACACAACTAAACAGCACACCCAACAATGCTCCAGTGGATAATTCTGCACTACAAAATTTTAATTCTCATTGTAAAGTTGTGGCTTACAATCATCACATGCATAATATTTATAAAGAAATTGCTTCATATGTTGGTATAAGATTATCTTACAGATGTAATCCCCATCTGTTTAAACTGCTTAGAAATTATAAGAATCTGATTGACTACAGCAGAGCACTGGCAATACATAAGATACTCTAAGGGATAAAAGTTCCAGAGGGACTTGATATGTATAGGTTCAACCCAGAGATTACTCAGAAAGAACTTAAAGAGAACATGGAGCCAATATAGACAGAGGGAGGCAGACAGAGAGGGAGGCCTTCTCAATATATGGGGAGGAAGAAGTTAAACCTGATTTACAATGTGCTACATTAATTAGAACAATGGCAAACACAGACCAACTCAAAGTACTAGAGGCGCTTGAAATTTTTAAAGCAGAGAAACAGGAACAATACATAAATTTTAAGGAGGAGAGATGCATTTCACAAGTGTGGAAGGCCCCCTTTAATACATCATTATAAAAATTAAAAAAGGTTTTAGAACTTTTACACTTGGATACATCCTATTGATCAATTCTAGATGATTTTAAATTCAAATTTACATGTCAGCTCTTCTGCATTCGACATATTAGAACATCAAAATGTTATAAGTTCCATCTGTTTGAAATTTTTCACCTGAAGCAGATCTTAGAAACAGATAAAAATGTAAACAACGTAACCTACAAACCAATGGCCGGTGTACGACGAAAAACAAAAGAGAAAGTTTACCACTAACGTTTTCGAACTCCAGAGTTCTTCTTCAGGTATTAAAAGGAATTTTGATGGAACATAAAACCTTTAGAATACAAATATTTGGTGAACTTTCTCTTTGTTTTTTTTGTTGCTCACTGGTCATCGGTTCATAGAGTAAGTATGTTGTTTACTACACCCCGGTGTTGTATGTTGTTGTTTAGATAAAAGTGTTAATTTTTTCTGAAAAATCAGCTGGGTGAATATCAAGGTAGTGAATTTTTGTACATGCTAGAATATTTCTTGATTCCTTTATTGGTAAGAACATTATTCATGTGAGAATGTTATTTTCCAACATGATCTCAGACCAGATCACGCAGTGAAGTCAACCCGAACTTGATTTACAGCAATAATATCAATTACTTAAATCCAGATTTAAATCCTATAGAAAATCTATGAAGAATAATGAAACAAAGATTGATGGATGAATAAACTTCAACATTATGAGAGTTAAAAGCAAGGCTGTGGAGTCGCGTAAAAATCTACCGACTCCGACTCCGTTTCATATACATAACAAGTTGGTAAGTAAAAGGGAGTTGGAGTCAGTGGATTTTTTGACGACTCCGGCTAAAACACCAAAACTCCACGACTCCGACTCCACAGCCCTGGTTAAAAGAAAAACTGAATAATATTTGTTCCAAGATTTCACCTAACAATTATCAGAAATTAATTGATTCAATGTCACAAAGAATTCATGATGTAATTAAAAACAAAGGTTATCCAAGTATTAAATGAATTTTCAAATATCTTAACAAATATTAAAACAATATGAATTATTCTGAAATAAACATACGCATTCCAATTTTTCAAACAATTATTTATTTATTTATTCAAATTTTTTGAATTTCTTAAAATGATGAATATTTTAAATTACTTAGCCTTTTTCACATACAGTTTTTCCAGGTACAATCAAATGACAGGTTAATTAGATATGTAATAAATTATCAGCAAATATGACTTAAAATTTTATAATTTTAACATTGAAAGTCAAAAAATACTGGATTTGTAAGATTATGACAATTTTTTTGACACAGTTGTACTCTCAGATAATTTAGGTAAATAATGTCAAGTTGCTAAAGTAACAATAACTGATTTCTTGGGCTAAAAATTATAATTATTATTATTATTAGAATTACTTTTGTTGTTACACAGATATATTTCCTAAATTGTTCTGACACTTTAGTTGCTGTAAAAGTATGCGATTTACATTGCAACTGGAAGCAAAAGAGAATTATCACCTGGAACAAAAAAATTATCTAAATTTTATGAAATGAAGGTAAATCTCAACTGAAAATTGCCAAAATCACTATCTGTTCATAACATACAGTATCAAAAACCTTCAAACAAATTAATTCAAAAAAGAAAATGGTAATTTATTGTTAAAACTGGGGAAGAAAATGGTCAAGAAGTTTGAGAGATGATCATAAACTAAAGCTCAATAGTAAGAAAAAATTGTTTTAAATCAAGTAGATATTATCATTTTGTATGGAAAAAGGAGAATGTAAATGTGTCCTACAGTAGAATAGTTTGCAGATTTTGTAAAATGAACTTGTTCCAAACAAACTATTCCTCTCTAGGAAACAGACTGAAATGAGTTCAGAGGTGTAAGCAGTATATTAACTGGACCTTTGAAAATTGGAATAAGATTATTTTTAGTGGCAAATCAAGGTTTTGTGTATGTTATGATGATCAGAGTATAGATTTGTGGAGACCAAACAAGAAGTCTTTCATCCATCCATCCTAAACAATCTATGAAATATAGGAATATAATAATATAGGGATGCAAGTCTGCAACAGGTGTAGGGCATATCACAACTATTAAAGGTACCTGAAATTCCTAAAGGTATCAAGAGTTGCCAGAATATTTAATTACAGAATAACGGCCTTTACAGCCCTTATGAAAAGAGTCTGCACTCATTGCAGTACAATTGAGAACACTAGGAAGAAGGTGAGTTGCATCACAGACATTGCTACCATATATGGCTACCCTAAAAACTTGATCTATAAATTAGCCCACAGGCAAGAAACTAAAAGAACACAACTAAACAGCACACCCAACAATGCTCCAGTGGATAATTCTGCACTACAAAATTTTAATTCTCATTGTAAAGTTGTGGCTTACAATCATCACATGCATAATATTTATAAAGAAATTGCTTCATATGTTGGTATAAGATTATCTTACAGATGTAATCCCCATCTGTTTAAACTGCTTAGAAATTATAAGAATCTGATTGACTACAGCAGAGCACTGGCAATACATAAGATACTCTAAGGGATAAAAGTTCCAGAGGGACTTGATATGTATAGGTTCAACCCAGAGATTACTCAGAAAGAACTTAAAGAGAACATGGAGCCAATATAGACAGAGGGAGGCAGACAGAGAGGGAGGCCTTCTCAATATATGGGGAGGAAGAAGTTAAACCTGATTTACAATGTGCTACATTAATTAGAACAATGGCAAACACAGACCAACTCAAAGTACTAGAGGCGCTTGAAATTTTTAAAGCAGAGAAACAGGAACAATACATAAATTTTAAGGAGGAGAGATGCATTTCACAAGTGTGGAAGGCCCCCTTTAATACATCATTATAAAAATTAAAAAAGGTTTTAGAACTTTTACACTTGGATACATCCTATTGATCAATTCTAGATGATTTTAAATTCAAATTTACATGTCAGCTCTTCTGCATTCGACATATTAGAACATCAAAATGTTATAAGTTCCATCTGTTTGAAATTTTTCACCTGAAGCAGATCTTAGAAACAGATAAAAATGTAAACAACGTAACCTACAAACCAATGGCCGGTGTACGACGAAAAACAAAAGAGAAAGTTTACCACTAACGTTTTCGAACTCCAGAGTTCTTCTTCAGGTATTAAAAGGAATTTTGATGGAACATAAAACCTTTAGAATACAAATATTTGGTGAACTTTCTCTTTGTTTTTTTTGTTGCTCACTGGTCATCGGTTCATAGAGTAAGTATGTTGTTTACTACACCCCGGTGTTGTATGTTGTTGTTTAGATAAAAGTGTTAATTTTTTCTGAAAAATCAGCTGGGTGAATATCAAGGTAGTGAATTTTTGTACATGCTAGAATATTTCTTGATTCCTTTATTGGTAAGAACATTATTCATGTGAGAATGTTATTTTCCAACATGATCTCAGACCAGATCACGCAGTGAAGTCAACCCGAACTTGATTTACAGCAATAATATCAATTACTTAAATCCAGATTTAAATCCTATAGAAAATCTATGAAGAATAATGAAACAAAGATTGATGGATGAATAAACTTCAACATTATGAGAGTTAAAAGCAAGGCTGTGGAGTCGCGTAAAAATCTACCGACTCCGACTCCGTTTCATATACATAACAAGTTGGTAAGTAAAAGGGAGTTGGAGTCAGTGGATTTTTTGACGACTCCGGCTAAAACACCAAAACTCCACGACTCCGACTCCACAGCCCTGGTTAAAAGAAAAACTGAATAATATTTGTTCCAAGATTTCACCTAACAATTATCAGAAATTAATTGATTCAATGTCACAAAGAATTCATGATGTAATTAAAAACAAAGGTTATCCAAGTATTAAATGAATTTTCAAATATCTTAACAAATATTAAAACAATATGAATTATTCTGAAATAAACATACGCATTCCAATTTTTCAAACAATTATTTATTTATTTATTCAAATTTTTTGAATTTCTTAAAATGATGAATATTTTAAATTACTTAGCCTTTTTCACATACAGTTTTTCCAGGTACAATCAAATGACAGGTTAATTAGATATGTAATAAATTATCAGCAAATATGACTTAAAATTTTATAATTTTAACATTGAAAGTCAAAAAATACTGGATTTGTAAGATTATGACAATTTTTTTGACACAGTTGTACTCTCAGATAATTTAGGTAAATAATGTCAAGTTGCTAAAGTAACAATAACTGATTTCTTGGGCTAAAAATTATAATTATTATTAATAAAACTGTAGTAATAAAACTAAAATGCAATAAAAATTAATTTTTATGCATTTGGCAACATTTTAATTAAACTACTAACATAAATAAACAACAACTATACCTGTTTGTAATGATCATAATTTGAAATTTTATACATTTGATCATATTTCAATTTTTGCAATAGTTGAATTTTGTGTCGTATCTCTTGAAAGGTTGCAGGTATTGATTCAGCATCAAGACACATTTTGAATACTGTTGTCTGAAATGTTAATTTTAAATAGTAAAAATACATAAATATATTAATAAATTACAGGTATCCCTTGTATAACAGTAGTCTGAAAAAGTGCCATGTTATGCAAATCTGTGCTACAAAAAATAAAGAACTAATGCAAAACATAGGGTTAGGTTCAAAAAGTTAGCAAAAGTATACTAATTGTTATTGTCACTAAGAGAAATATGCTTATTAAATCAATCAATAATTAACTAACAATCACAATTAAAAGTACTGTATTAAGCATTAATATTAATTTTAGTTAAATGAGGGCATTTTCTTTTTACAAAGTATCGTCATCTTCTGAGCTTTTTGTTGATCTTGGTCAGAAATAGCAGCAACATCTTTATTTTTTTTATTTTTATCATAAAAAACTTATTTATAGAAGATAAAATAAGAATAAAGATATGTTATTAAATTGAAAATTTGTTTTAGAGTGCCCTCATTTGTTCAGTTGAGCACCAAGCAATTTTTCTCCAGAATTTGTGTTTGAATACCAAATTCTTCAAATTGAGAACAGTTTGAATACTGAAATACCACCATATTTTCATATTTCATTCATCAGTTTTATGAATGATTACTTACCTATGATTAAAAAAAATTAATAACACTACCTAAAAATGTTTAAATAAACTTTATTAAATATGAAGATTAATCTATAAAACCAAAACATGGTGACAGTCTTAAATGCTAATGTCTGAAAGCAACATCAACAATACCTAATTGATAGAATAGCTAGAACAAGGAAGAAAAAATTGTTCTATCAGTTTTCATTAAAGTAAACTTGACGAAAGGCATAAAACAAATTGAAAATATCAATATTGTAAATCCATGGGCAAATTTAAGACGATGCATATGCTTACTTAAACAAAAAAAAATATCAAATAATGGCATTTGCACTTAAAAATTGTGAAATTTTGTATGGACAATTTCCCAAATTCTCAAACTGTGTTAGAGCAAAACCAGAAACCATGATGTATGGGGAAATCCTCAATTTTCCAACCATGTTAGAGCAAAACTGTGTTGTATAAGGGATACTTGTAATTATCAAAAACACAAATAAAAATTACATTATTTCAACTAATTAAATCATTATATATATATACATGCTGACTTTACCTCATTATAAACAGACACTTACCAATAGTAAGAAAATTTCTAAGAGTATTAATTTTTCAGCATTTAAAAATTTAAAAGAATTGCTCCAACATTCTACTAGTTTCTAAAACACACTGTATAAAAATTTTCTTTATTGCTCGTGCCACTATAGTACATGTTCCTAAATCTTTTTTTTTTTTAAAGATGTAAACATGTTGTAATCAATTGGTGCTAGATCTGAGCTATATTCTATCAACTTTTCAAAACATTAAAAAAAACACCTGAATGGAGAATGTTTACTTCACTTTACCTCCAATCAAATTGGAAGTAAAGTGATTAAATGGTACTTCTATTTTTCTTTATTATTATTATTATTAGTATTATTATCTAGTTGTTGTATTGTTCATATTTTTTCATCTTTTTTTATATTGTTTAAACTAATATAAAATACTAATACCAACATTACACTTGTGTAATGTGTAATCTACTTTTTATCTATTGATTTTAGGAATAAATAAGCATTTAAAAAAATATATTTCAACATTCTAAATATAATACATAAACTGCATTAATTGGGACACTAAATATATTGACAGAGTATGTAACTTAATATTGTAGCACTTGATACAGAATATAAGGGTGTCCCTGGATACTCCAGTATCCTAGACTGTCAGGCACCTTCTGGTGACTGCTACTTTTTAGTTGTTTTACTTTCTAATACAAACTTTATGACATTCTAAACAATTTTTAACAAATTTATTGACATGTATACATTAAAAAATTTAATAATAAAAGCAAAGAATACATTTAAAAAATCTGATAAGTTAGCTTACCTCTTTTATAATTCCTAACAATGATAAATTATTGAAGATTTTAAGAGTCAGAAAGCGAACCTAAATTAATAGATTTAAATTTTATTTCAAGCAACAATGAAGTATATATTAAAAATTCAATTTTATAATGAAAATCTTACAATGTGATATGGAGACATCAAATTGGATAGAAGAATTTCAAATACTTCATATAATTCATGCAAGGGCACACTTTTATCAAATTTATGAACGTAAGTCAGAAATACATCAAATAATAATAAGGAGTTGATGCTTTTTGAATTTTGTCTACAAAATATTAATAATTATATTTATATTAGATTAAATTAACATTACCAAATAGTAAAATTTTAAAGCATTTATTCATTAAATGTTATGTCTGATTTCTCATTTATGAAACACATTAATTACATATGAGAATACTTTAATTTTTCAGTAACAATATAAAATTCAAAATTATAACTGAAAGAGATAACTTGTAAAATTAATTTATAATTTTACAGTAAAATAAAAAAACTTATTTTCAAGAGTTATGAAAATTTTCTTGACAACATATACAAAGTGACTATAATTTCTTGAGTATTATAGGATGCTTAATAAGAAAATATGACAGATTTTGTTCAAAAACAAATACAACAACAATTTTTCATGTGCATTAAATCATGGATATGTTAAGTCTTGCTATCCAGCCTATCCTAATATGAGTCTGAATGAACCTATAATGATTATGACTAAGATTAAATGATGATGCAACTTGCCTGGACTGAAGTTTCTCTTATATTTTATCCTCTCATTCTGTCTACTTGTTGGCCATGTTCAGTAGCCAAACCCATGGGTCAAACTACCTCCCTTCTTGTTTTCTATTTAAAGCCAGAGTTATACTGGTGGCTATTGCTAATTCTTCAGCAGTCCTTATACTGTTGTGACTAAAATAACAACATGTATCCTTTTCTATGTCACCTTTGCATTCCTGTTTATGATTAGTTCTTCAGCAAGAACTATATTAATTCTTCTCTTTTGCTGGTCCTCCCAGTGCTCCTTTCTTCCGTCCACTAGCAGGCAGCAAGTGCTGCATATACAAGTATAATGTCTTGTCTTCATAGTCAACAAGTACATTATATTTGTATATGCTGCTCGTCTTGTCTGTCTTAAAAGATCTTTTGAATTCTTGATTTTCTTGTAAGTTGTGAGTTTTGGCTACAACAATCCTAGCATCTGCTATTTCAAGGCAAGGCCTAAGAACTTTTAAGATGACAGTCTCATGATTTTGACCAGTTTCATCTCCTATAGCCCCTTGTTCTCCTTCACTGACTATTGTCTTCTTTTGTTTGTTCTTCATTAAATTTCTAACAATTTCAGTGGCATGTAGTGAGTTATCGAAATCTTTTTAATGATCTTTGTCTCTGCCTTATAACTTCTCTCATTGGATAAATATAACTAGGTCCTTGTAAGAAGGGATCTAAAGATCACCACTCTGTACCAGAATGGATTTCCAGAATAACAAATGTGTGAGGTATGCCGATTGGGGTGAGGAGTTTTCTGACAGCCGAGAGGTCTACTCCGTCATATGGGAGTGTTAAGACTCACTGAGACAGATTTCCATCATAAACCATTTATTAAACATAAAAATGATGCTTACAGCTACTCTTAACAATCGGTGTAAGGCCTATCCAAGGACGAACCAGTTTGTACAATAAAAAGAGTTCAATTGTCCAAACGAACGTTGAGTTGCCGGTGAAACGATGTGGAGAGCATTGGTCCCGGGCGCATTGTACACTTGGAAAGGCTGGTCATCACTGGGAAACACCTGGGCGAACTTCCATATCAGCAGTTGAAGTGAATTCCAAACCATCGACTCTGCTTTTGTTGATTTTGGGACAGAAGCACAAAAAATCCGTGAAAGGAGCACTATGAACTCAAGACCAAGAACTCCTAATGTTCTTGAAAATGCGATTTTATAGATTTTTCAACCTCAGTCGCCTCTCCATTGGTCTCTCATTGTCATCTGGTGACAATTCGAGACCTGATGAAGAGCGTGGGAGAGGTCAACTTCGTGACCGAACACGACTCCTCTCTGGCTGTGTTTTCCTCGACTTTAGTCTTGCTATTGTTGTAAATCTTTTACCAAAAAAACTTCCATTGTTTAACTCAGATCTTTAATTTCGCCCTTTTGCATTGTGAAACGTGATTTTTTTTAAAAGCCAGTGAATATCTCCTTTTGGACTCCATTTGGGTCCTCACAAATCCAGCAACAAGTTGCCTAACTTTTCCAATAATGTTTAAAATTATTTGTGGCACCAAATATTATGATATTTTACTTAAAAAACATTTTATATTTTTAATTATAAAATAGCAAAAAGCTTAATTTTGAGGGCAGGGATGAGTTTTAAAAAAAACTGTAACATGCTAATAAGTAAAATCATCATTAAGTCTGACCCTATATGAGATATGACACACTATACCCCATTATCTCCCTAATCCCACAACCCTTAACCACCAAAATTTAATAGCATCAATCACCCTAATTAACAAACCTTCCTGAAAAATTTCAGACATTTTCAACAAAAAGCATAGGAGTTATAGAGCTTTAAAAAGGGCGAACAAAATTGTATCTCCCATATACACACTAACATCCATACATACAGAAAAATGCATCAATTTTTTTGCATTTCTTGACATTTCAAGCTCCCAAGTCCAAAAATGTAAAACCTTGGAGAGTCATTTTTTAATGATCATCATACTTTCCCTCTGTTATATAAAACAGAGCCAGGAAAGTAAAATGGGTGTAAGAAGGAACTGTGGTGAATTTTTTATACACCAACATGACAAATTTTTCTTTTTCAACACATTGAAAAATTGAGGTTGTTCACCTTCCTCCTGTCAAATTGATCAATTTCCAGGGTCACCCCAATTGGGTTTTGGTTTGCATCTGTTATAAAATCTTTATTTTTCCACACTATCAAGAAGCCATCCACATATCTAAACAGTGCTAGTATATTAGTTTTATATTTTCTTGTCACAGAGGCTTCTATGAAGCTTAAAGATAGCTCAGCAAAGTCATCAGCGACCAATGATCCTATCGAAGCACCTTGTGTTTGATTGTAGAAATATCCTTTATAGATGAAATATGAAGAGTAAACCACTATCTGTACCATTTATGATATCAGCTTGCTCCATTTCTTCTTGAAAACTTCATATAGTTTTTGATGGTTAGAAAGTACACTGCCTCTTAATTTTAGAGAGACACATAAACTTTTACAATCCAGGACATTAAGCAGATTATATTCTTTGTTTCCCTTAACCTCTTAGTGACCTCCTCTGGGCTACTAATGACATACAGTAATACCTCGACTTATGCGAACCCGGTGTTACACAATTTTAAAATCTCGTAGATTCATCTTTTGTTTGAGCGCCACGCAACTCTTGATTACTCACTCTCCCCACACTATTGTTCGGCCTACATGTTCAGACATGTCGTGTGGAATTGACATATAGCTACAATTTATTTTGTGTCATTTATTTCTGTGTTTGTTATATCTACGGAGACTCGAGAGACTCTACTATGTCATCCAAACGAAGTAGAACTGATTCTTCTGCATCAAACAAAAAAAGAAAAACTTTATCTTTTGGAATGCAAAGTTAACATTATTACAGACTTCGATACAAAAATGAAAATTTGTGAATTGGCAAAGAAGTTTGATCTACCAGAATTGAGGGTCAGAACAATTATAAAAGTTAAAGAAAAAATTCTCGAAGCTGTGAAAAATGCTCAATCTTTAAATTCAAGCATCATTCGTAAACATCACGGTATTATCGCTGAGATGGAAACAATGTTAAAATTATGGTGTGATAATCAAGTAAATGTGAAAAATTGTACAATGATATAATTTGTTATACCTATGTATTATCTAAGATTTTATTAATCATTTTTTTTCTAAATTATTGTTTTCTTTAGTCTCCGGCCCAATTAAAAATTATTTGTATGTATTTATATGCGAAATTACACCCTGACTTACGCGAATTCGACTTACGCGGTTATCGCTCGATCCCACCTATTGCGCAAGTTTGGGGTATTACTGTATTCCATTTTGCTTAAGATACAGTAGATTTGATAAACTGAACAAACTATTCCTCTAGTCTGATGTAAAGTTAAGCTACCATGTAATAATTCTTAAACTTATAACAAAATGGCAGTTTAATCACCTACACCTAGACAAATTACTTTGTATCTATTCTGATTGTTGGAAGACCACTGCTTCTCTACTACCAGGCAAATCAGCCATCTTTATGTGTTTTTGGAAAAATGAAGAGTCTAGGCAGTAACTACTTCAATGGAAGGGTAAACCTTAATTACATTGGGAGACATTCATTTTGCATTATTATTCTAACCTTTCTGGTTGATGGGTTGTGTCTTCAAACAGGTCAATAGCTTGTATTTCAACCAAATGCAGTTTGATTCCATTGATGTACTTATATTTTTATATAATTGTGGTGAGCTTTCCTTTATCTAACAGTGTAATGGATCAGCTAGTTGTCATATCTCTAGCTTTTGACTTATCAAATCAGGGTCTGTGATCACAAACCCTGATTTGGTCAACCCAATTTGGATTTGATACAGCCAACTTTAGACACACTTTTATTATTGACCTTTTCTTCCAGAGCATTGCCATCAACTGTTTGGCCACCTGTCAAGCCTTGGTAATTATCACTCTGCAGACACTATCTAGTTCAGCACAGATTTTGATCAACTCTTGAACCAACTTGATGCAGGAAGCATACTTATATCCCTTATATCTAAAGCTGTAAATCTCAGAAATGGTCTCTATTTCTTCTTGTACCTCCACTGTTTTTTGTAAGGCTTCCTGTTTCTTCTATGGCTTAAATTGATATTTGAAAATCCACTTGAGATTTCAAATGTTTCTGACCCTCATTCTACTTTGTCTATTGGATACTACTTGTTGTTCAACGATTTTTGGTTTACCAACCAGAAGGGTTTTACTATTGGTTCCAGTTTCAGTCTGCTTTCTAAATTGTCAACACTTCCAAAGCTTGAAACCATTTTTCTTTTTGAGGAAATCAGTCTCTTAGACACTGATTTTTAATCTTCTTCCATAGTGGTTTGCAATTGACTGGTAAATGAATTCAAAACATAAACATTGGAACAACTCTATTGATGCAATATTGAATTAAACAATTCTTTTTTTGTTATTTATAGATTCTGATAAGTTTATCTAAAAAATATTCCATAAAAAAAGTACTTTTTGATTTCTATATGAAAATATATAATTTTTTAAAATCTTTTATAAATGATTCAATTCATAATAGAACACAAACTATGAAATCTGGCTGTATGCTAGTTTCACATGCCCAATGATCCAACCCTAATCAACTTCTAGTATCACTGACACTGTTACAAAGTCATAGTCACGCATACCACTAAATTTGAACAGTTCCCACTAAATACAGCATAATATTGAGTCTGAGCTTGAACATTCAAGCTTAGTCATAATATTAGAGTTTGTTAAGCTTGCCATCTTAGAGTGCTCAAAGTAATTACTCTCTTTTACATTTTCTTGCTGTTCTGTTTGATTAATAGAACTTACTAATATCGTGCAAATAAACAAACGTTTTCTTTCCAAATTATTAAACCATTAAATTCACTTTACTTCTGATAATCCATAATCCAGCAATTTCCTTAATCAAACATTGTTCCAGTCCATATTTATATGTTAGATTATCAAGACTGTGCCATATTTGATTTATAAAATATTTATTTTTTACAAAAAAAAAAAATAATAATAATAATAATACTTACTTCATTAAATTAATAAAAAATCTGGAACTAAACACAGCACAAACAATACCACCAGCTTGCAGTTTACATAAACAATTTAAACAATGACATAAAATAAAAGACAATGACTCTCTTTCTTCAGTGTTTTCTTCTAAGCAAAGTTTACACAATACATCAGCCAGAGTTAATAAAAATGCAATTGATGATTCTAAATTTAAATTCCTTAAAAAAGTTTTAATTAAAAATACATATCAATAAGTTTAAAATTCTTTCACATTTATGAAGAGAAATAATTAGAATATAAACATTCTTACTTGACAAATGGAAGACAAATTAAAGCACTCCAAACTTTAGGAAGTTCTTTAATCAGTTGAACTTTTGAAACAGATAAATATTTTACAACCAAATTATTGAAAGTGTTTTTTGGCCTAGAATTACTGAAAAGTACAAAAAAATTATAATTAAACAAAACAGCTTACAATAAAATATAAAACTGCCACTAGTACACTTACACAAGTAATGTATGACTTGCAACAGAACATATCTCTTTTTCCAGAAAAACAGATGGTAATTTAGTACATAAAAATTCTGTTAAAATCAATAATACAGCTTGCTCTTCTGCAATACTTTCTATTTCTAATTTTTGTTCACAGTATGTTAATAATGATGGTAAGATATCCTAAAATTATAAATTTTATTGCATTAATAAAATAAATTTTAAATCACATATCTTCTACTCTTTTTACCAGTGTTATGATCACCCTCGTATACACTCGTTGAACCTTTATCCTCAGTACTGATTAGATTTTGGAACAAACTTTTTTGGCCTCACCCAAGATTTGCTTCAGGTTAAATGAAAACTGGATTCCAAGCTTAGAACAGTTTTTGAAACACTTTCCAACATTGAGTTTTAAAATAAATTCAAAGATATGCACGTGCTATGGAGCATCGTCTCTTTCTTGCTCTTCGCATTAGTAGTGCCAGGTGTATGAAAGCGCATTGCTGTCTTTAGAGTTTATACCTCTCCCTGTCCAGCAGGCCCTGTATATTAATCAGTACCAGGGATAAAGATTCAACAAGTGTGTACAAGGGTAAATTTTAAAATCTTTGTGAATGATTGTGTTTACATTTATTATCATTAATATTTTTAGAGCCAGACCAATCAAACCATTATATTAGTTTTACATTAGATGTTATTAGTTGTTAGTTCAATGTGCATTTTAACAATAGCTATTAATTTGAATACAAACCAATGAGAACACACATTTAATTACATGAAATGATAACTGTGTAACCTGATAAAAGTTTTACTTTTATCAGGTTACACACTTATCATCAGGTTACACAGTGAGAAAAAATTGTAAATTATTGATGAACAATTGTTGAATTCAATCAGATGTTCTTGTTGGTTTTGGTTATGATAGTAAAATACATTAACAGTATCACTTCCATGTAGCAGTGTATATGTGTTTTGGTGAATCTTGATCTAAATGCATCATGTTACATAACAACAGTAATTAATAATTATAGAATAATGCATAGTCTTGGGGACTGCATGTTATAGAAAGATGCAGAAGATGAGATAATAAACAGTTAAGATAAAAACCTGATGATAAATTTCTGATGGTAGAGCAAAACATAAGTTCTTGATACTTGAATTGATTGTTTGCTGATGTGTGAGCTCATACACAGAGCATCTGAGAAATATTTGAATATCTAACACTAGTTCTCAGGGACATTAAGAGCATATTATAATTGAATAGTTCTCAATTCTTACATTTGAATATGACCATCTTTAGTTGGAATCACCTTAGATTAATTTGAATTAAGCCTAGTAATAAAAATTTTTATGTATGTTAAAGTGATTTTAGTATAAAAAATGAGCATAACTGTGACATTTATCTTGTGTAGTTTAAAAATAAAGTAAAAAAAATTCCCTAAACCTGTTCAAAATGGAAAAAATAATTTGATACAAATTCCAGTTTACACAAATTTTATTGTATATAAAAAGTTCTATATTCATATCAGAATATAACTTTTCATTTTGCATTCTTTAAAAATTAATACATACATTATATTTATATTAAAAAGTATTCATAAATATCTAGTATTCAGGTGCCTGATTTCTAAAATGATAGTTTTACACCTACTTTCTAAGTATGAAATGCATACCAAATGTTCAACAATAATTATTGATAAGTATAGATAATTATTTTTTTCAGAAATATTTTTTAAGAAAAATTTGTGACCAGTTAACAAAATTCATGACATATAACCAGTTAGCAATGCTGGTCATGACCAGCAGATATGATGTTATTCTATTTTCAGATATTATTCTTGTTTTTTTTAAATTTGATTCTGACAATAGATGCTAACCATCAGAAAGGTCTTAATCAATAAGAAAGGTAGATGAATCCTAGAACCAAGACATTTTGATCTTGTTAATTCATTATCATTTAAGATCCTAGTTAATTGCATAACTTTTGTTAATTAGTAATTGCCTTTGATTTGATATTTTTGATATTAATTCTATTCAAACACTATCAATTAGACTATAATGTTAATATTCAAAAACAAATTTTTTATTATGAAGACATTAAAACTAAAATATTACCTTTTCAAAAAGACAATAAGAAAACATATTCCTCGTAAAGTTAAAAATTAAGTCTTGAGACACATTATCAGAATATATCTATAAAATATTATAATAATAATTATTATTACTTCAATTTACGAAATTTTTATCTATTTTGTACTAAGATTTGGGTCAATACTTACAGAACAAATGATTTTATTTAATATTCCTCCAGGTATTTTTGTGTAATGATGACTGATTAATGTTATTGCAATCTGAATTGCAGCATCATTCATACAATTAATTTGAATATTTTGATTCAATATTTTCAACAAAATCTAAATTAATTCATAAAAAAGTCATTAAAAATCTTTTATCTACTACACTGTATTTCATGTTAATAATATAATTTCAAATAAATATAAAAAAACAATTATTAATTACAATATATAACAAGATAAAGTACTGTAAATATTTATGAATGGATCTTTCCTATAAATATCAAATAGAAAACCCTTTGGTAGCAATTTACCAAATGTATAGTTTTGCTTTGAAAATGACATTGTTCTCATTAAATCTCATAAATTTCAAACTCACAAACACAAACTTATATTTAGACTTAGAATTTCAAATTAGTCAGTACAGAAAAATAAACATGTATATACATTGTAATTATACAATATTAATTATTTACAATCAGATATAACTATAACTATAAATAAAGAGGAGAGAGCTGTCTGCAAAGCAGACAGCCCTCTCCTCTTTATTTCTTTCAGGGCTGTCTGCAAAGCAGACAGCCCTGAAAGAAGGTAGTGAAGAGGAAGATGGAAAAAGAGAAGAAGGACAGCGGTAAAGAAGGAAAGAAAGAAAGGATCTCATGTCTGTATTGGCATAAATTAAGTCAAAAAGTATAAAACATAACAAAATCGAAAGACAATATTTTACATGTTGCTTACATGCTGAAAAAACAAAGCCTTTTTGACAGTTATCCTTCTGTCCTATGTCTCACTTTCTTCATCATGAGACTGTATGCGATTCCCATCTTGGAAATCCTGTGTTGTTTGTTTAGTTTGAAAGGTGATTTTGTTAATTGAGAATGCTCCTGTCTCTTTAACAAATTCAGTCAATGGTTTGAGAAGTTTATTGTTTGAGAAAAGTTGATCTTCTTTCAGTGGCCAGTTGCAGTCAGGAGACATATCTTTTGAAAATTCTTATTTTTTTTTCCCCCAAAATTTCATGCATTCAAAAAGAAGGTGTTGGGCATTGTCTTTCTTTTCAGTGTCTTTGTCACAAGTGTTGTTATTAGTCTTTTTGAAATGCTAAAGCTAAAGAATGATTCATAGCATACCAACGTCATGTTATTAGTATAATTAACTAACTCCAAAATCTGTACAAGCATAAAAGTAGAATCATGTTTTGCAGATTTAATGAAATTTATGTTCCTACAGATTCCAGAGTTAGTTAATTACACCAATGGCATGATGGAATTAGCAAGATTGGTATGCTATGTATCATTTGGTTTGAGAATAACAAACCTAAAACAAAAAACAGCAAACCTAGTGGAATCATAAAATTCACTTTTCACAGAGGTATAATGTTAATATTCTAGAGGTTCAACAACATGAAAGAAATCACAGAACCTAAAGAGTCCAATATGATTGTAAAAAGAATCCCAATTATGTATTGAATTTTAAGAAACAATAAGAATAGATTAGAAACAGAAGATATGGCAGGTGTGTACAGGATACTGTATGAAAATACACAGTTGGGGATAGACAAGGATTACATCGGTGTCACCACAAGAAACTTGAAAGTCAGACTCAAAGAACATCAATATAATGTAAGAAAGACATCCAATAACATGGTACTCTCTAGGATGGCACAGGCTGATGGCTTGGTGATAAAATGGGAAGAGACAAATATCATTAGGTTTGTACACTCCCCTACATTAGAACAGAATGCTGAAAAACTTGAAATATACAAAAGCAGGTTGAAAGATAAGTGCATTAATGCAAGAGATGCAGACAGTTTACCAATGGCATGGAAATACATTGTAAAAATAGGTTTGTCAGAAGACCATAATTACTTCATTTCTACTATACCAGTATATTTTTGTATAATTTTTGAGTTATTTATTTTACATTTTACTGTTATTTATTATTTATATTAATTTTTAGTTATTTTTGCTTTATATTCAAATACTTAAAAAAATTGTTATTCTTTTATTGTATTCTGTTTTGAAACAAATTTAACAGTTAAGATGTTCCAAGAAAAATTGCAACCTGAAGATGACTAGGTTGAAAACATTTGCTAAATAAAAGCAAATCCCAGCAAGCAAAAAGGTTTATAGAATGATTTTTAATTATATTTTGGGATTGTGGATATTTAATTTATATTTTAATCACAGTTTAAGCATTTATTATATTTGTTAAAACATTTTATCTTTAACTCTTTTCCTGAATTTGCTATCATTGTTGGTTTATACCAATGACAGAATATTCTTTATAGTTGTTTGTTACAGTGGATATTCTAGCACAGTAGAATGAAGTTTGTCTGGCACATTGCCTGTAAACTTACTAAGCATAGTTTTAACACAAAAAGATTAGTTTTTGGAACATTACATAGCTGTTCTTGTATATGTTATTTTTATATTTCTTAATTCTCATTCAAATCTTTTTACAACCAATATTCTCTTTTGTATTGTTGTAATATGACACAAAATGTTCATTTCTTATGTACATCCTCCATATTTTATAGCTGGCATCCATCATTGATTATTGTTATTCCTAGATAGACTTACTTTTTCTATTATAACAATCCTCAGCTATTATATATACATTTTATTATCACTGTACTGACTGTAGCTATCTTTCAGTTATATCTGCATCTATCTTTTCTATATGACAATACATCAAACATATAAAAATATAATTTTATTTATGAATTAAACTAGCTTTAATTAATAAATACATGTTACATAGTTGTTACATGATCAATGTTATAGTGCAACAAGTGTTTTTGCATCTATACAAAATATTATATTGTTTTTGTTTCACAGTAGTTAAAAGTAATAAGATTACTAATATCCATTTTCTCATTATTAGAGTATTGAGTTCTATCAACTTCCCAAAGCCCGATGTAGTGTTATTAAACTAAATGGTTGTTATATCATATTAATAGCCCAATTAATTAATGGTGATTGTTTGACTTAGTACTGATTCTTTTAAGATTTCTAACATCAATTCCAATTACAGCAAAAACAATTTTTTTTTTCAAATGTCCATTCATAAATTTAAAAAAAAACTCTTAAAAAATGCATGTTTTCAAGTAATCAAAACAAAATGCTTTAATTCTTACATTTATCATTAAGAAACAATATTTTGCTTCTCTTCTGATTTTCTTAAAATTTAATCATATTCATATTATTTCACTTTATATTTATCCCAAGGCTGTGGAGTGGGAGTTGTGGAGTTTTAGTTGGAGTCATCAAAAATGTGCTGACTCTGACTTGTTTTTACTTTACCAACTTATTATATACATAAAATGGAAAAGTATTGAAATCATGTCAAATTTAATCCTCTCAGTTTTTTGCAAATCTACACGTTTGGAGACCTCCTGAACCAAAAAAAAAAAAAAAATGTCAAATAAAGAGGAAAAATTTGTGTGTGTGTGTGTTGGCATCTAATTTGTTTAATTTCTTTATATTCTATTCTGAGATATTAAACAATATCTCAGAATGGGTAAAGTTTAATAAACAAAATTTGACACAATAGCTTGGGTGTAAAAGGGTTTTGATGCTATTAAATTTTGGTTCTTAATTAAAGGTTGACAGGGCAGAGACATAGAAGAGGTCATGTGTCATATCTCCAGTGTGGTCAGACTTAATAAATATTTTACTCATTATTAGAATTCACACTTTTTTATAAAACTTGTCTCTATCTTCAAAATTAAGCTAGAGTTCTAATATGAGCAGACAAAGACAGAAAAAGAAATATTATAAAATTTAAAGATAATTTTAGAATGCACTGAAAAAAGTAAACCACACTGACCATTCTTCAAATTTGGGTGTTAAAACGGCAATACTGCACTATCCAGACATTATCCAAGATACAGCATTGCCACCAACCCAAGTTTCAGTAAAGCATTTATTTTCTGCTCTTAAAATTATTAAATTTGATTAAGAGCTTCCATGAATGCTGACTTAATAGAAACAATTTTTTTATTAAAAAGTAATTCAGTTAATAACAGGGATAGAAAATAATAAATTAATCAACATGGCAAAATAAGCAACCTTTTTTCTTTACCAGTCTAAATGTTATATTTCTTATTCTTGACTCAGTTTAAGGTATGTGCATACTTATATATTACCTAATATACTTGTATAATTAGTTTAATAAAAATGTTGTACATAATACTGTATATTATGTACAACATTTTTATTAAACTAATTTGTTTGTGTAAGAATGTATTTACTGTTTTTATTTATATATGCTTACCAAATACTATGGCCATCATCAAACAAGTCAATAAATATGAATTTATATACAGTAGAGCGTCGTTTATCCGAAAGTCGGTTATCCAAAAGAATTCCAGTTGGCAAATTTAAATTTTCACTAGTGCTGTGATGCTGCAATCTTTGGCTATGTCTTGGGCTACTACAATATTTTTTATGTTTGTGTATGTGTTTTAGCTGGCAGCACTGGCACTTTTGTGTGGTGTTTTTCTGAGGACTGTGTGTCGTGCTGAATCAAACATTTTTGATACTAAATTAACTTCTAAAGTATAATTTTTTTTGTTTTTATATTTTTCAATATATTTATTTTGTTTGTAAAAAATAAAGAAATAATTTTTAACGATACAATAGCCACGATTATTATTTTAAAAAGTTTATGTTAGGCTTAACCTCAACGAAAATTCAATGCAAAGCGACACGCAACGGAGAAAAATTTCAACATGGAATAGGTTAATATATTTTTCCATACATAATCGGTTATCCGAACAACCTCAGTCCCCAATTGATTCAGATAAACGACGCTCTACTGTATTAAGTAGATGTGTCAAATTTTAATGTTTAATTAATTTATTTTTAAAATTGTTTATTTTGAAGTTTTTAAAATAGTAATCAGAATCGTCATCATTATTACTTTTCCAGCTGTTATACAGTATAGGCCTATAACAAAGGAAAAGAATGACAATCAATCAAAAAATGGCTTTTTCAAATTTTTACTCTTTTGGACTTGGGAAGCCTTGAAATGCAGTGAAGTGCAAAAACATTTGGGATTTTTCTGTATGCATGGATGTTAGAATGTGTGTGGAGAGCATGATTTGGTTCAACCATTTTGAAGCTTAATAACTCCTGTGTTAAACCATCTGACTCCAATTCAAAAATCACAGGTTATTAGGCTTTCAAACAAGGTGAACAAAATTGTGCTTTACACATACAGTCTAACATCCATACATAAAGGAAAAAAACCCAAATCTTTTGCACATCTTGACATTTCAAGGTGTCCTGAGTCCAAAAATGTAAAATTTGGGGAGGTCATTTTTTGACTGATTGCTACACTACCCCTCTATTATATATAACAGCTGAAAAAGTAAAAATTATCAAATACATATTTATATATTGACTATATCATTACTTAGAGGAGTCTTTTAGCTCCTCTAAGTAATGATATAATCAATATATAAATATGTATTTGATTAATAACCAAACACCTTTTATCACTGCTGAAAAGATTTAATTAAAACAAATGTTTTCGACCTATTCCATAGGGCATCGTGGGGTTTAAAACAGACAATTGGAAGATTTCGTTCCACAAGATCAAATACAAATATTCAAATTTCAAAAAACTGACAATGGATTAAAAAGATAATATACTATTTGGTACTATATATTTGATAATTTGAATAAATAATTGGAATAAAAAGTTTCTATGTTCTATCTTTATTAGAACTCTATTTATTGAAGCATTTATTCTGAGGTCATGTGATGACATCAGAATTCCCAGACCTATTTTGATAACAAGTCCAGCCCTGGTTGGAGTTGGAGTCAGATGATAAGGCAAAGTCAAAGTCGAAGTTGGTAAATTTTTACACGACTCCACAGCCCTGATTTACATACATATACATATATATCCACACAAATATATCAAAATAATCTTACCTTGCTAACATCATCTACTGACAAAATTAACTTTCCATCTCTATAGCATATGAATGTTTGAAAAAGTGAGATTAATCTACATAGATGATTTCTTACATCTTCTATTCTTTCATTGTTTAATGATAAATATTTTAGTAATTTTTCAATATATTCCTGAAAAACACAGTTTTTAGTCTCAAAATTTAAAAAAATTATTTATATTTGTTAGTTAAATTTTAAAAATTTCTAAATATAAAATTTATTTGAATATTTTATAACAACACAACTGAATCTCTTTAAATTTTGATTTTATATACAGACAAGCTTCTAGTATTTTTTAAGAATAAAAATATAAATTATAAATTGAAAAAAATAATTTAAAATGAATTTTGTTATATTTATTTTTTAATCATCTAATTAACAAGACTATTTGCAATATTATATAACTTAAATAACATTATCTCTATATTCAATACTAACTTCAAAAAATTTTATATTATATTAAAATAAGAGGCAAAGAATTTAATTTTTTTAAATATAAAATTTAAAAAGAACCTATTTAAATCAATCTTATTAACAAAAACTTCAAAATGAAAATATTTGCATATATTGTATTCAAATTACAGTATAGCCTCGATTATCCGACCCAATTGGGGACTGGGGTTGGTCGGATAATTGAAAAGTCGGATAACCGAAAAGTATGAAAAAATCCATTATTAGTGTAGTATATTATTATATCCCATGTAATTAGTATATTAGTATATCGCTATTAACCTACTTTGCGTTGAATTTTCATCCATGTTAAGCCTAACAAATTTTTTTAAAAATAATAATCGTCACTATTGTATCGTTAAAAATTAGAAAATTAAGCCTCGTTTAAATACTGGCTCCCTTTCATGGTCGAATGAGTGTTGCCAGCTAAAACACGTAAAAATAATAATAAACTAGCCAAGACATAGCCAAATATTGTAGCGCACATCACTAGCGAACATTTAAAATTTGCCGACTAGGGCGGTCGGTTAACCGAGGTGTCGGTTAATCGGGGGTTGGATAATCGAGGCTCTACTGTAATGATAAATAAATATATATACATATTTTTTTTCATTTTATTAATATTTAAAACAAATTTCAAAAATAAATAACATAATATTTAGAACTTTTGTGATAGACAATAAAGATAAGTAATTTTATCATTTACAAGGAAAGGTTCAATTGCAAGACTAAAAAATTTTGCCATATATCTTTCAGTTTTCTAAATGTAGTGTTACATGAACTCTGCTTCAAAATTTCCATTGACTTTTTTTATGAAAATTAAAGACTTCTGGTTTTTTATATATATATATATCTCACCAGAAGTCATATTTAATTTAATACAAAACTTTATCATACGCATGTGAATTCTAACATGTTTAAGTTAAAAAACATTCTTGTGTTTGCTTAACATAAAAATATTTTAAAATCATTATTCAAATTTTATACATTCTTTCTTCACTTGAGGAAGACATTTTGAAATGTCAAAAGTACTTGCATGTATTTAATTCATAAAGTAAATAAATCTAACACTAAAAGACAGTACAATTTCTTTCTTGTACTATATTTAGTATCATATGCAAACATACAAAGTTTTACAATCATGGAAACTGCTAAACAATTCTTCCACATTGCTTGTTTTTGGTTTATCATTACAAAACTAACAATATTTCAAAAATAATTAAAATTACTTTTTACTAACAAAATATTTTCTTAAATTTGCTTGTCATTAGTGGTATACAGAAAGCTCTTTAAAAAAAATCTTTTACACAGAAAAAATTGTAAGGTCATCAAGTTATGCTTGAAGACAGAATGGGAGAGGTAATGATTTAGAATGTGAGCATAATAGACACCAACTCAGTTACAAAAAAAATTATCCCTGTTTATTTGGACAACAAATCATCCTTACATAAATAATGTTCATGGTGTAAAGCATAACTGTAAATCTTAAGTTCTTCCTGTTGAGAAAGAGCTTTCTTGATGAAAACATTTGTCTGTGTTGACTAGCCTGGAGTAATGTTGTCAAAAGTCCACAGAAAAGTTGAAGTCAGTTCAGCAAGAATGTTGCAGATGAAGTGGAGAAAGCAACCAAGCAACTACGAGAATGCTAAGAGAAAAGCTCTCTTTGTCCTTGATATCAGAGTTTTTAATCATCTTCGGTCCTTGATCAACTACTTCAATTGGTTATCTTTCCTCATTCCCACTTTCTAAGTGGTCGTCACCCATTACTAAATGTAACAAGATCTGAACCCAAATTGTGGGATGAGTCAAAATTGACATTTAATTCAATCCCAACCAGAGATAGTTGATCTTAGGATTTACATTGTCTAATTTCTGAGAAAGGGGTTTATTTTCAATTTATCATTAATATTTCCTTTTATGGACATAAAAATTATATTTTACAAAATTAATGAAATTAATGGTTTTATAGTTTAGTGTGTTCCCAGGACATTTCTAGAGCCTCACAAAATGTCTCCGCATGGATTTAATGGAGACTTTACATAAATATTATTTCTCTTTGTATCTCTAAATGAAAAGAATAAACATACAGTATATGGAAAATGTTTCATCACCAAAGAAATTTTATCAATGGTGCTCACTTAACACAATTTAATATACATGACATAACGTAGCTAGTCTTTATATAAACACAGTTTTACACACCTGTGACCTTTCTGATCAGGTTCACATTCCACAGCTGCCTTACCCACTGGGTTAATAGTGGGCAAAGCAGACAAAAAGTCAGACAATGATAAATCTCTCCCTTTCTGTTATGTAGAACAATTACATAACAGGTTAAATAGCAATAACCACATACAGGAATTGAAGTTAACATGAATGTAATATAAAAGAAAGTATAGCGTAATTTGTTAATTAAATTAACCTGTCCTACGTTTCCGAAAGCATTCGTGTAGACCTCATTGACCTGCTTAGGCAATCCCGAATATTTTCGTGTTTACATCGGAACATTTTTGATACTAGATGTCGCTATGCGTCACAATTTTTATATTAAAACAAACTTTTAAAATATAATTTTTTTGTTTCTTTATTATTCAATATATTTATTTTGTTTGTGCAACATAAAAAATAATTTTTAACGATACAGTAAACATAATTATTATTTAAAAAAAAATTTTTTTAGGCTTAACATTGACGAAAATTCAACATGGCATCACAGGCAACAAATAAAAATTTCAACATCAAATAGGTTAATACATGAAATAGCTGTGATAGTGTGAAGGCACTTTGTGTTCTTTCTGTGATTTGCTACTTTCACTATGCTCTGGTTTGCTTGTCTCTCTCTACTGGTTTTGAATGGTTGTCTTGCATCCTTGGGATCACTGTGGTTTCCTGACCATGCCTCAGTTGGCATCTGCTGCTCCAGTGTTGGACCTGATTTGACCAGTGATAATCCTGGATCTCTCTTGAATTGTTTCCAGTGGTGTGTGTTCATTTGAAATAAATTTTTTACCCATGAAGACATTCCTGGTAAAGCTATTCCCTGTTGGTGATTTGACAGTGACTGTATTTCCCATTCTTCTAGTTATTTTGCTGAATCAAACTCACAACTCAATTTATTTTCTTTGCTCTGCTTCAAGAGAACAGTATCACCTGGTTTCAAATCACATTCCTTTACCCTATGCCATTTATTATAGTACTCCTTTTCTCTCATCTTTCTCCATTGTCTCTCTCTCTTATCTCTTCATCACCCCAATATCACTGCCAAAGTCAGGGAGTTTTGTTCTAATCTTACGATTGAACAATAATTCTGTTGAACTTATACCCATTGTAGAATGTGATGTCAAACAATACATTAATAATCATACAATTCTTCCCTCCAGTTACAGTTTCCTGCATGTGTGATTTTTAACATTTTCAGTAAACTACGATTTTGCCTTTCCACTTCCCATTTACTTGAGGGCACAGAAGAGCTGAATACCTAATTGTGATACTCTGTTGCTCTGCCCATCTTTCTAATTCCCTGCTAACAAATTGTGGGCCATTATCAGCAATGATTATGTGAGGAAAACTGTGTCTAGCAAATATTTCAATAAAGTGTCTCAAGATTGTATCTTCTTTTGTGCTGTAGATAATTGTCACTTTATAGAATATAATCAATAATTAACAGCAGATATTATTTTGTTGAAAAGAGACCTAGTATCCTATAGCCTATCCGTCATTACATTCATTTACAAAGGTGTTGGGTTTATGGCTTTTTGGACCAGCTAACAGCTGGGATATGATTAATTTATGAATTCTCAAAAGAGGATATAAATTAAATCTCCTCTTTTGAGAATTTGCTTTTTTACCTCTGAAGATCGACATTTTTCCAGAACTTGGTCCCTAATTTCCTCTTCAATTGAAGTAAACCAACAATACATTGTTTGCTGCCTCAATCNGTCCACAACCTGCACTTTCTCCTGTGATGACGCCATGACTGGACAATAATGCTCATAATATGACTTCTGCACCATTTTTCAGTACAAAAAAAATCTTCTCTATAAAACTTAAATGTCAATTTTCTATTGGCTATTAATATGCCTCAAACCCAAACTTATCCGACATTTTTCCAGAACTTGGTCCCTAATTTCCTCTTCAATTGAAGTAAACCAACAATACATTGTTTGCTGCCTCAATCTCATGATAAATTGATTAATCGTTTCATCTTCTTTCTGTGACAGACTTCAGAAATCATGGCATTCATATGTCTTGTTTGTCTTCAGTTTGAAATAGTTTGTCACAGTCTTTGTCTTTTGAAATGTGTCTTCACCCTCTTCCACTATGTTGGCATCTGGAATGGTGTAGAATATATCTTGCAAATCTAAGCCACCCAGATGTAACAAAGTTGCCTTTTTTTGATTTCTGTCCATGATATTTTTGTTTATTAGGTAAAATTCAACTGCTTGAAGCCACCTTTCCCATTGGGAAAAAACACTTCCTTGTTCACCACAAGGGTAACTGCATATTACTGTCAATAGTTCTAATTCAAGATTCTTTCTTCCCAACAGCTAAATATTCACAAATTTGTGAATATTTAGCTGTTGGGAAGAAAGAATCTTTGAATCCAATTGTAGTTTATCCAGCTCACTTAGCATGATTTAACCCCTTCCACCCATAACCCAAGATAACTCGGGCTGTGCGTGATGCTGCACAGTCCATATCCCAAGTTATCTCGGGCATAGACATTAAGGGCCTCAAAAAAAGAGCCTTGACTTATAACTTTTCCAAAGATGTATGAATCAGCATATATACATCGTTATCTATGATCTCTGCAAATTTCATAAATTATTTTAGCCGCAAAAATATTTTATGATAATTTTTTAATTAGGTAATTAACTGCTCTATTGTTTTTTATCAAATTAATTAAATTGTTCTAAACTTCTACTTGACCGATTTGACTTTGGTAAAATTTTTTAAAACTCTATTGGATGTTTTTTATGACACCAACAGTTTTTTTTTTGTTTTTTGTTCGGTAAAATTTTTTCCCATACCTTTTTTTCAGCCCCCTTGTAATGTAATAGCATAAAAATTGAAAATATTGTGTTATATTTGAACAGATGCGGTAAGTTAGCTCCCCTCCTGCTTTAAACCAATATTACCCTGAGGCGTACATGAGAACTACCCAGAAAAGTGGACACCAGCTGTTCTCAAGGTCAACCAGTTTGTAAAAAATGTAGACTGCAGTGTGAAATATCACGCCTTATTAAATGAAAGAATAACAATCCCTGCAGCTATATTTTTCAAATACACATACTCCTCACTTTACGACCTATCTGCTTAACAACCACTTGCACTTACAACCAATCGAGTTTCGACCTGCAATTCGGGAAATCCCCTTTCTCAGCTTGAGTGTTGATCAGTGGCAATTGGTGACATGCTCACTGAGCATAGTATAGGCTTGCTATGGACTTTTTTAGTCAGTTTGATGTAATTTAAACAATTGCGGGCCTTGCCAATGCACTTAATTTAAATGCTGAAGTGGAAGACATTGCTGAATTAGTGGATTATGCCGATGGAGAACTAACAAATGAAGATTTAATAGAGTTAGAAGCGATGCAGTATTTGGAAGAGGAAGAAGATGAAAGAACTGAAGAAGTGAAAAAGAAATTCACGATACATGGGTTAGCTGGTGTGTTCTCCAAAATTAATGCGGCTATGTTGGAACTTGAGGCTATGGATCCTAACACTGAACATTTTAAAATAAAGTTGAATGTGGAATGAGTGAACTTTTGAAGTGCTATAGAGAAATTTATCAAGAAAAAAGGAAGATTACAATGCAAACCACAGTTACGAGTTTCTTTTCAACTGTTACATCCAAGACCTCAACCCTTGAAGATACAACTTTTATTTCATCGTCGTCATCTCCTTTACCTGGGAAAAAAACCTCTACAGATAACCAAGTAAACAAGTGATAATATGTGCAGTGCATATGCATATCTTTTTATGAATAAATTTGAAGTTTGTTGCATAATTTTTATAATTTTACAACGATCCTATATTCCTGGAACAAGCTCCTCGCTTATTGACCAATTCGCTTAACGATGTAGTCGTAGGAACAGAACTCAGTCATAAAGTGAGGAGAACCTGTAAAAACATTTATTTTAAATTATTTATATATATTTTTATACTTTTCTGTAAAAACACTTTTTGGAGGGATTTTTATTTTGCAGGAATTATTTCCCGGCAATTTTTTTGGATGTCAGATTCGTGCTTGAGTGGAAATAATTATTTAATATAAAAAATCAATTTTTTATGGGTTTCTGAGCGGCATTCAAAGCGGAACAAATGTACGCAATGGGTTAATGTACACAGCATAGTGTAGCTAGCTTTGACCTTTCCAACCTGGTTCACATTCCACAGCTGCCTCACCTGCTGGGTTGATAGTGTTGCCAGTTGGGCAATGGTACAGATGCATTTATGGCAAATAACATAAATAATACATTCTGAAACTATTTGCAATATGATATAAATGCCCTGACTAGAGACTAAAGAAATAGATGATGAATTCTTTTATAAGTTATATAATGTGCTTCACAAATTGGCATTCATTATTTCATTAAATCACTCTTAAACCTTTACCAGGAAAATTGTTTATTAATTGAACATTTTTAGCTGTCTGAACAGCCATCTTCAGGATACAGCTGAATTTGGACATACCAGTCCACAACCTGCACTTTCTCCTGTGATGACGCCATGACTGGACAATAATGCTCATAATATGACTTCTGCACCATTTTTCAGTACAAAAAAAATCTTCTCTATAAAACTTAAATGTCAATTTTCTATTGGCTATTAATATGCCTCAAACCCAAACTTATCATAATGACCAAAAATGACTTTAAGGTGACTGTTTTTTTATTTCATTTTTATTGACTCCAATATGCATTTTGGATGAATTTATACATCCGAAATGCATATTGTTAAGAGTATTAAAGATGACCAGTATTAAAGATGTAACAAGTTCACATGAAAATTCATTCTTCTTGTTAGCATTGTCCTTTGCAAAATTCAATGATGCTGAAATAAAACTTTGTCCCTTCTTTTCATTTTCTTTTCCCATTGAAAATATGTTTTTTCATATTTAATGTGCTGCTTAACCTATGAAGAGTAATGCTTTTCATCTAAATTTATAGTAACATCACACAGCTTACATCTCAAAATACTATTGTTAGTCATAATTCTTTCATCTTTAAAACTATTTACTAACTCCTTCAGTTTTGACTTTGGTATCACCATATTCCTTCCTACCTTTGTGAACATTGGAACTGCCCTTATTATTTTACACCAGAAGAAGATATTTAAATATCAATATATCAAAAAAAAAAATTATTAATTAAAAATTTATTTTTGGATTTATAAATAGAAATATAAAAATAAATTTAAGGGCAAAAAGAGAAAAAAATCTATAAAAAATGTGAGGGAAAGAGGAATTAATATTTCCTCCAAATGATTGTAAACTTAATAAAGAAACAGTCTGTGATACTTTGAAACAGTCCCGTGTAAGTAATGAAAAGGGGTGCACTACAACTTCCCAACTTTACTTATAATATTTGAAAGTTGCTATTTCTAAATTTATTTAAATAATTTTAAAGATTTTTCTGGATCCTTTCATCATACAATTAAAACAGCTATTATTAGTTATTTATAATAAAAAAATAAAATACTATAATCATCATCATATAACATTAATATATTAATAATAAACTTACAAAAAATGAATTCCAAATTACTACTGTATTTTTCTGTTCTGTATACTTAGCCATTAAAATCAATGTTTCAGTAAAAATTTTAAGAAATTCATCCCATACAATTTCTTCCTTGTTATCCAGTCCTTGTCCAAGACAATTTATCAAAATAGAAAATATCTGAAGAAAAGAAATTTACATATTTACTAATTAATCTGTTATTTTATAATTATATGCAATTTTATTCAATAAATTTATTATTTTCATAATATTAATGTAATATAAAAATAGTGAGTATAATATTATTGGCATATTGATTAGTTTAAGATAAAATCAAAATTATATTTAGTATTTATAAAATTATTCATAAACAAAAGTGAAAACAAGAAACAAGTTACAGAACAACAGTAGTTAGTCTTCTATGAAGGCATTTCAAAAAGTAACAGTAAATTAAATATTTTGAGATATATAATTCAATTACAGATGAAAATGATATTTATTTTTTCTACATAATCATTCTTCTCTTCAACACACTTCTCTACTGTTGCACAACTTCTTTATTCCATTAAAAAAAATGTTTTTGGATGTACATTCAGCCAGGAATACACTGCTTCTTTCACTTTGTCATCCTTTCCAAATCATCATCCTCTAAAAATGTTCTTCAGGGGTCCAAACACATAATAGTCAGAGAGAGTAAGATCAAGAAGTCTTCTTGTTTGCCATCTACTGTGCCATAAAGGCTGTAGAAGTCTAAACACAATTCATCTTGTGCGCATCAGTCAACATTCTAAGCACCCACCATACAAACAACTCATGATACTTGAAAACCTCCATGTTCTCAAGTATCATAAGTTGTAATAGTAAGCATAAATCCTATACTGACATTCAATTTCTTGGCCAGAACTTCTAAAGAAATGCACCTGTAGCATTCTTCTATGAATTTCACAAGGTTTCACACTCTCCGACTACAAAAGTCTCATGACTGTTCACTGCTCCTCTGCAGTGCAAATAGCTAAGGGCCCTGCCAGTTTTGTAAATGCTTCCCTTTCATGATCAGCAGAAACCTTGTTAGTTTGACATCAATTTTCATAATATAGGATATGTCAAAATTATGTTAANTTGTACTGTATTTATTGCATACATTGCCATTCAGATTTTTTTGAATCTTGTCTGTAGGATTTGAATTATTTTATTCTCTTTCAAACTTTTAATTCATTTGATTTGTATCCTTGAATACACAAAAAAGGAATTCCTTAAATTATTTATACATTCATTTTCCTAGGGTTCTGCAATAAAAATCAATAAAAACAGTTATTTCACTGAACTTAGAGAATTTATACACGTGCTTTAATAAACATTATATAACAAACTTATATAATGTTTATTTATGAACGTTCTAAATTTAATAAATTTTAAAATTGTTTATAAAAATCGGCTTCTAATATTTAATAAGTCTTTAAATTGAGTATTTCATTAATAACTTATTAGAAATTTTAATTAATTTTTTGGACGTTTCCAAATATTTACTCATAAAACTTTTAATTATAAAATAGCATTATTTGGATTAATATTTTTAAAAAAATGAATATAAAGTTGTTTCAAGATGATTCACTTTTAGTTATCTTATGCAATTAACTATACTTTAATAATAATTAATTGAAGAGTTTTATATGAACAGTTTGTAATTAATAATTGATTATAGAAATTTATATAAGAAAGTCATTATAAAACATTAATAAACTTGAAACAAATGTTTGCTATATTTGAGTAAAATGCAAACGACTAGTTGAGAAACTATATAAAATAAATACAGTAGGGCCTCATGGTACGCAAGTTGGTTGCATATGGCGGATCACTATTGAATATGTAATAGGCCATAAGCAATACGTTCTAAGACGTCTGCGTAGACCAAATTCGCATAAAATAGCCAACCCCATTATTTATAAAGTATTTCTTATACTAATATACTTATCAGCACTTTTTGTACAGTTTAAATAAGGCTAATAAACACTATACTAAATAGCCTTATACCATAAATCATAAAATTTTCGGATGCAGACTTTTTCTTTTCTCACTAAATCTAAAATTTTTACTTTTTCCTTTAAAGTAGACACTTTACAGCTTTTCTTTGGTTTATCGGAGCTACCAGCATCACTATCCTCGCGTTTTACAGCCATGTTTGCAAAGTAATTAGCATAACTAAAACAAAAAGGGTCGCTGATATCACACGAACACGACGTGTTACAAGCAAGAACTCGGGACAAAGACTGGTGCAAGTTGCAGTGTTTAGTGCCAAACAAAGAAATAAGTGGTTGTAACGTATTTTCAGAACGAGAATGAGTGTGATTTAGTGGGATACTGCGAGACTTCATGCATCTTAAAATGGTGCAGACTTAGCAGCAATTAAGAATCTTTGTTTTACGCATTTCCATTCGTCTGTAGGGTAAACCTGAAACCGCGTATAGCGGTATTATACCGTATAAAATTTAATTATAATTTTTTTAAACATTCATTTATATTACTTATAATTTCGTATAAAAGTATATTACTTATTGCATAAACAAAAATGTTAATTAAATAATTTCAATATTTTTAATAAGTTAATATTCACCTAGTATAATGATTAGCAGAATCTCAACGTTGCTGTTATATCATCTGGGATAAACTAGTTTGAACACTCACTCTATTCTAGATGGATTAATTTACGAAGTTCTATTTAATCTAGAAAGTGGTAATGTTTAATTTTTAATATAACAAACGCGAATTACTAGAAATAAATTTAATGTAAATTTTATCGAATATAATCTCGTTTGTGTAAAGATAAAGGAGTATATTTCGTGAATAGAACGATAAATATCACTGCTTTCAGACATTGTTGGACATTTTATATAAAAGTATCTTTATTTTTTAAGAGCTTACCACAGACAAAATCCATAATATTCATTTTATAGATTTTGTCTTAACTTCTACAATACGCATTTAAAGGAGCACAGAATCCTTCTTTAGGACATTAAAATCCTCAATATTTATATAATGGATTTCGTTTTATTATCCTTTAATATTTATATTAATAAATGAAAACTCTTTGTAATAAATCTATATGATCCCTATTATTCGTTAGGATTAGAGTTAGTCGTAGTTGAACAAGATGTTGATATTTATAGTCAATCCGTCCTATTCTAAAAGATAATATAGGATAAAATTGAAGAATGGTATCTTATAAGCCTATTTTTTCCGTTTCTTCAAAATTTTACATGTAGACAACAATCATTTATTATTATTATTTTATTAATGATGATTACAAGACATTTATAACGATACAAGTAACGACCTTATCTTTAATGACGATGAAGTTACTTCAATAAGATGAGGATAAGATTCATTATAAATTGATCTTAGACATCAGTAAATTTAAAGAAAACACAAGCGAGTTTCAAAATACTAATAAAAGATATTAAAATTTTAAAAAGTATTTAATTTAATGAAAAAATTTTCTCTAAAACATTTCAAATTACGTGTAGAATATCAAATTACGCATTATCTCAAATTACTTTCAGAAGAATGTTTTAAATGGCGTTAAAAAATCTAAAACATTATCTTTTCAATAAAGAAACAAGAAGCACAAATAGTAATAAAAAATATTTAAAACATCTTCTCCTTTATTCATGTTAATGTGTTTACTTCATTTGCTACTTTTAATTATGGCGAAAAAATAATATTTTAAGTTATTTTTTCTTTATTTTCATCGTATTTTTTCACCTTGTCTTTGTTATCTTCGGTTTTGAAATTTTTTCTTTATTTTATTAATAAAACTCGGAATTATTTTTATATTTCCACCGTCACTTTTTATGTTTATATAACTGTTTTGAATTAAATCATCTTGCGAATCCTCGAACATCATTGTATATTTTACAGTAACTATTACGTTCTTTCTATTCTCTTATCTTTATATGAAGCAAGATAGCTTGAAATATCCTTAAATTTTATTTGAGTTTAACTAATATTTTTCTTTTTATTACTATCTTTTTTTATGATCATTTTACGTCTTCTTATTCCAACAATGGAGTATTGTAGAATTATCTGATTCAAATCTGATCAATTGCTTACTGTTTGATCTAGGATTTCAGTAGGCAACTAGAATACAGCTTTAAATCGAATTTCTTTATCAATGTCGAAGAAAATTAATGTTTATCTAATATTTATATCTTAGAATTTATAACTTTGAAGTATCGGGGAGAAAGTACTAAAGTGCTTTGTTACATTTGTATAGATCTAGATTTTTAAATTCAAATAACATTCTATTTTCTATTTTTTCTAATTTTTTATATCATTTATAAGCTTTCTCTAATCTAAAATACGATACAAATATTCTTTATCGTAAAGTATTGATAGTATCTTTATTTCCATTTAATAGTTTTGATTCATTATGGAATTATTTAGTAATTTAATTCAGTCATCAAGTTTATAATTTTTATTTATTATTAATGATTCCAAAGCGTATTCGAAGACTTTTGTAGGATTTACGAAATAAGGCAACTTACATTAAGGCATCTGCCAAAGGGGTGTCTTCAGGGAGGACTTTCTATGGGAAACTGGTCTTTATTTAGGTATTAGACACATAAAGAAAATCCAGAAAACTTGGTAAATCTCGACCAACTACTACTGTTTTATTTCACAAGATCACTGGTGAGCTACCAAAAATAGTTTTATAGAAATTCGGCTTGAACGATGCAGATTCTACGAGAATTTCTGCAAAATTTCTATGTTTTTCTTGCAATATCTTTACAGTAAAACTTCAATTATCTAAATTAATTGGGATTTTGGACCATTGAAATATGCAGACCATCTGGCTAATTGCATTTTTGCTTAAAATAGCCTTTTTTTTCTATCCAAAAACACCATTATGTACATTTTAATATAATTCCATACAAATAAAATATTATGTGTGAAGATGTACCTACAAATGAATATGCAGTTATCCCTTGATTAACATGGTTAGTTAATCCCTCAATTCTATAGCATATATCAAAATCATGTTAATCAAATATGGTATCTACATTAAGTAAAAACAGCTGTTAAAGTTGTTAATTAAAACTTCTAATGTACAGTGGAACCTCAGTATAAGATCTTAATCCGTTCCTGATGTTTGGACTTATACCAAACAGGACATATACCAAACC